TGAACTCCTTATTGCCAAATTCTGACTTAAATTGAAGAAAGTGGGGAAAACCACTAGACCATTCAAGTATGACCTAAATCAAATCCCTTATGAATATACAGTGGAAGTGAGAAATAGATTTAAGGGACTCGGTCTGATAGACAGAGTGCCTGATGAACTATGGATGGAGGTTTGTGACATTGTACAGGAGACAGAGATCAAGACTATCCCCATGGAATAGAAATGCAAAAAGTCAAAATGTTTGTCTGAGGAGGCCTTACAAATAGCTGTGAAAAGAAGAGAAGCGAAAAGCAAAGGAGAAAAGGAAACATATTCCCATTTGAATGCAGAGTTCCAAAGAATAGCAAGGAGAGATAAGAAAGCCATCCTCAGAGATCAATGCAAAGAAATAGAGGAAAAGAACAGAATGGGAAAGACTAGAGATCTCTTCAAGAAAATTAGAGATACCAAGGGAACATTTCATGCAAAGATGGGCTCAATAAAGGACAGAAATGGTATGGACCTAACAGAAGCAGAAGATATTAAGAAGAGGTGGCAAGAATACACAGAAGAACTGTACAAAAAAGATCTTCATGACCCAGATAATCACAATGGTGTGATCACTCACCTAGAGCCAGACATCCTGGAATGTGAAGTCAAGTGGGCCTTAGAAAGCATCACTACGAACAAAGCTAGTGGAGGTGATGGAATTCCAGTTGAGCTATTTCAAATCCTGAAAGATGATGCTGTGAAAGTGCTGCACTCAATATGCCAGCAAATTTGGAAAACTCAGCAGTGGCCACAGGACTGGAAAAGGTCAGTTTTCATTCCAATCCCAAAGAAAGGCAATGCCAAAGAATGCTCAAACTACCACACAATTGCACTCATCTCACACGCTAGTAAAGTAATGCTCAAAATTCTCCAAGCCAGGCTTCAGCAATACGTGAACCGTGAACTTCCAGATGTTCAAGCTGGTTTTAGAAAAGGCAGAGGAACCAGAGATCAAATTGCCAACATCCGCTGGATCATCGAAAAAGCAAGAGAGTTCCAGAAAAACATCTATTTCTGCTTTATTGACTATGCCAAAGCCTTTGACTGTGTGGATCACAATAAACTGTGGAAAATTCTGAAAGAGATGGGAATACCAGACCACCTGACCTGCCTCTTGAGAAACCTATATGCAGGTCAGGAAGCAACAGTGAGAACTGGCCATGGAACAACAGACTGGTACCAAATAGGAAAAGGAGTACATCAAGGCTGTATATTATCACCCTGCTTATTTAACTTATATGCAGAGTACATTATGGGAAATAGATGGGGAAACAGTGGAAGCAGTATCAGACTATATTTTTTTGGGCTCCAAAATCACTGCAGATGGTTATTGCAGCCATGAAATTAAAAGATGCTTACTCCTTGGAAGGAACGTTATGACCAACCTAGAGAGCATATTAAAAAGCAAAGACATTACTTTGCCAAGAAATGTCCGTCTGGTCAAGGCCTGGTTTTCCCAGTGGTTATGTATGGATGTGAGAGTTGATCTGGAAGAAAGCTGAGTGCCGAAAAATTGATGCTTTTGTACTGTGGTGTTGGAGAAGACTCTTGAGAGTCCCTTGGACTGGAAGGATATCCAACCAGTTCATCCTAAAGGATATCAGTCCTGGGAGTTCATTGGAAGGAGTTATGCTGAAGCTGAAACTCCAGTACTTTGGTCACCTTATGCAAAGAGTTGACTCATTGGAAAAGACCCTGATGCTCACAGGGATTGCTGGCATGAGAAGAAGGGGATGACAGAGGATGAGATGGCTAGATAGCTTCACCGACTCAATGGACAAAGTTTGAGTAAATTCTGGGAGTTTGTGTTGGACAGGGAGGCCTGGCGTGCTGCAATTCATGAGGTCGCAAGGAGTCAGACATGACTGAGTGACTGAACTGAACTGAACTCGCAGTGTTCAATTAGGCAATAAGTATATTCCCTTTTAGACTAAGTGCACTTAAATGAGACAAGTGGCTTTGAGTCTTAGAATAAAAAAATCATCTTGAAATAATTGAGTTGAATCAAACTTCTCAGTGCCAACTCATTCGGGTCTTTCTTGAAAAATCCATCCCTCATTAGGCCAACCTGGCTCCCATCATACATAGTATGGTGTGCAGGCATAGATCCGTGTTTAACGCTTACGCTATTTTTTCCACTTGCCCATGCATTTCTTTCTCGACATCTTTCAGTGCTTCATCTGTCTCCTGTCTTCACTATCCAAGCAGGTTATAATTACAGCAGAAGATGTCTAATTAGCTAGACTCACAATTGATGCCCACTAGGCATTTTGGAAGGACTGAAGCTAAAGCTGAAACTCCAATACTTTTGCAATCTCATGTGAAGAGTTGACTCATTGGAAAAGACCCTGATGCTGGGAGGGATTGGGGGCAGGAGGAGAAGGGGATGACAGAGGATGAGATGGCTAAGTGTCAGACTATATTTTTGGGGGCTCCAAAATCACTGCAAATTGTGATTTCAGCCATGAAATTAAAAGATGCTTACTCCTTGGAAGGAAAGTTATGGCCAGCCTAGATAGCATATTAAAAATCAGAGACATTACTTTGCCAACAAAGGTCCTTCTGGTCAATGCTGTGGTTTTTCCAGTGGTCATGTTGGATGTGAGAGTTGAAGAAAGCTGAGTGCCGAAAAATTAATGCTTTTGAACTGTGGTGTTGGAGAAGACTCTTGAAAATTTCTTAGACTGCAAGAGATCCATCCAGTTCATCCTAAAGGACATCAGTCCTGGGAGTTCATTGGAAGGACTTATGCTAAGCTGAAACTCCAGTACTTTGGTCACCTTATGCGAAGAGTTGACTCATTGGAAAAGACCCTGATGCTCAAAGGGATTGGGGGCAGGAGAAGTAGGGGACAACAGAGAATGAGATGGCTGCATGGCATCACTGACTTGATGGACAAAGTTTGAGTAAAATCTGGGAGTTTGTGATGGACAGGGAGGCCTAGCATGCTGCAATTCATGGGGTTGCAAAGAGTCAGATATGACTGAGCAACTGAACTGAATTGAACTGAAGGCATTTTGGAAAGAGGCTAGGAAGGAGTCTTTCCAGTATTAGTATTTTACTTTCAGGGCATTAGAAAGCTTTTCAGTTTGAAGAGTCCATCAATAGAAATATATCTCAGGAGTGAACACTGTTTAATTATTTATTTGATTAGTGATTAGCTGGCCATCTGCTGAGAGTAAGGCAATGAAGGGTTAGTAAACAATGGAGGATTCAGGAAAAGGAATGAGGAACTCTTGGAGAAAGTGGGCGCATGATTAAGGGGACATTTACCTCGATTTTGGTTAAGTTTTAGGTTTTGTTTAGGCTGGCTCTGTAAAGAAATATATTGTTTCCAATTTATTTCCTTTCATCATCTATGCTTTACAATCTATGTCTTTTTTTTTTTAATCTATGTCTTATTTAAGTGTTAAAATTGGCTCGTGACTACTTCTTGTTATCACTGCGTAGTTCGTGATTAGGTTCTAGTATTCCACAGGGTCTAGCAGAGGTTCTGTAGAGTACTTTTTTCTATCATTTGCTGCAGAACCCTATCATGCTTTGGTGATTTCTGGTACTAAGTTGATGTAATACAGGAAAATAGAGCTCAGGTGCTTTTGGATAAAACCTTAATTTATCTCCTCCCTTCTCTCTGACCTTTCAGTCATTTATTGACTCAACCACTCCCATATTGTTGGATGCCTTTTTTGACTCTTATGTCTGCCTCATTCCTTGCATGTGGTCAAGGTTTATTTCATTTCCTGTATCTCTCACATCCTTTGTGTCCTATCACCTGGCAGAGCCCTCTTTGGTTTTTAGTGTCACAATATTCCCAGCTCTTTCTGGTCTCTTTCTTTCTCTCTACCAGCCCCAACACCCACAACTCCTCAACCCACATTAAAGTTTCTCTTTTCTAATTCTGCACAAACTGCTCTCTTGGACTAAATGTTCTTGGTTTCCTGTTGCTTTGTGGAATAAAGACAAACTCTCCATGTTGGCATATATGATTCTCCCTAATGCATGAAAATCAATACAAGCATTTCTCCATTCTAACCCTACAATAATATATACAGCATATCATGGGAGCATAATCATGAGAGATATAGCATGTACGGTAAACAATGAACATTTCTTGTGTTTTTGTCAAACTTAATTATTCACTGATACCTTATAATGCTATACGTATTACTATCTCAGTTGCCTTGATCTAGGATGTCGCAGATCCTTACTTCATAAGATGATCCTAAATGAATTGAAGATATACTGTTTTCCTATTTTTGTACAACAATATCCCCTCAACCTTTCAAAACTCCATCAAAACTCCATCATTTTTGTCACTCCTATGACACACTCAGATGGCTCCTAGCTTTACTTCAATGTACTGTATCTCTGTGTTGACATCACATCTTATTCTTCTTCATTCTACCATGTAATATAGCAATTTGTGTATTTATATCACACCCTCTTTCTCCACAACTTGAAGGCCTGCTTCTGGAAAATATAGATTTTTTTAAACCTCAGTTTAAGTCCTCACTGTATCCATGACATGTGATTTACTAATCTATAAGGTCAGTGAACTTCAAAGGTTCTTCATTTGTTTGTTTCCACTCGGTAACCTGAGAATTCAGTCTTCTTTGTAGCATGACCAGAACCATGAACAATTGTCTAATTCTTTGATTCTAATAACTTGACACAGAATGATTGGCTGTGATTCTTAAGAAATCTCTTAATCGTCTTCTTCGTAATGCTAGCTTCTATTTGTGACTAATTTTAATAGGAGCTTCATTCTTTCAATTGTAGGTGTGGATTTTCATTTGATTTTCTATTAAATGAATATAAGAAATGTTAGATTTTGACACCTCTAAAGAGTCTGTGTTTATTTTTTTAAGAGAAGACATATTTCACAAAGCATGTATTAAAAAGCTGTAAATTTCACAGAAACCTGCTATGGGATAGATCATTATGACCATCTCAGAGCTGGATGGGATGGATGCAGATTTAGCACGTTTTGAGGATTCGGCACGCCAGGATCTTGGTGTAAATGTCAACTTTACGTGAATCCCTGCTCAGGCATTTGAACAGTTTATAAAATTCAGAAAGACGCCTCTCTTCATTGCGGGACTTCAGGGATGAGAGTCCTGACCAGATAATGTGAGTCTTGTTTATCTTCTGATAGACAGGAACAATAATCTGAATACCCAAAAGATAATGACTTCTTAGTCATTGTGTTTTATTAGTATTTACTTATCTTTTTGTTTCTAATTATCAAATTAAGATTTGGGGAACACATACAAGTATAAAATACTCTAGATTTGGATTTTGGAGCCAGCCTATGAGAAAACTATTAGGAATCTAAAAAGTAGAAATGTAATTCAAGATTAGCTTTAACTTTCTCTTTTCTTCCTTCCCACTCTCATCCTTTGATTTGAGGAGAACAGAGAAAGAAGACAAGTGGACTTCAAGAGCAGATGTCCTGGGATACTTTAATAAAATGCTGATCTTGAAAATTCTGTTCTCTAGTTCTCTTAATCTTGATAATATTTCAACCACCTGTGCCCAGGAAGAGGCAAGCTTTTGGTGGAATTGTGTGCAATACAGGGAAGGCTGCATATATAAAAAATTGTAGTGAAATCTGATTCCTTTACAGTAGACTCTATCTCTATGAATGACTAGGCTCCTGCTTTATGTAGTAGCAGTCTAGCATATAGAAGACATGAATCTTTTTCTCATAAAATGAGATATTTCAAAACTCCTTATGCATTACAGAGGTCACCTCTTTCATTCATGAACAAAGCAAGAAAGCCCTCTGCAGGATGCTCACCTGTCTGAATTGACTCGCTATGAATCCTTGAAGTTTTTCTGACATTTTCTCATTCTCTATGGCACTTGATAGGATAGCCTGTGAGACTTCTTTCAAACTCTGCAGCTCGTTGACTAGATGATGCAGAGGTTTATTCCAGCTGTACAGTAAGGTGAGTATCAACTGACTAAGGTCTTCATTCTAAGCAACCATAAGAAACGGTCTCATTAAAATAATCATAATTCAGTGGTTTTGGTAACTTGTGATCTTTGCTCAGAGCAGCTGACCTAAAAAAACTTTTGGTTATTCCTATGTGTATGCAGAGATTTTTGAAGGTAGTAAAAGTTGAAAAAGTATAATTGTAAGCTATTAGTTCACACTTCACTGAATTATTGAAAATCGAGGTTATTTTAGAAACTAATTCTGATGCATTCTAATTTATAATGTGAAGAATTTTCTTTTTTCCTCTGAAATTCTACCACCACTCAGTGAGTTCTTTTATGTTTGTATATTTGTGTGAGAGAAATCTGAGTATTTTTTGACAAGTCAGTATGTACCTGCAATGCCTGACCCAGGAAAGAGGCATTCTACCTGTGCCCACAACATTGTCATCCAGTGATTCTTTCATATTAATGAATCAGATGAGTCATTCATATTGGTTTTCAATTGGTAATTTGTTTTATGATATTACAACAAAGAGACAATGAAGAAGACATGACATTCCTAAAAAGGCTTTCTTTCCTCAGTTGATCCCAACACAGCCCCCATGCTGGTATCAGAAGAGTCTGTCTTGTTGACACATGTCCAGGCAGAAAATGACACAGCGTTGTCTCAGTAACAGCATCAATGGGATTCACAATGGAGGGGTTTCCCCCCCAGGTTCACTACTACTAGTAGAATTGAGCATGAAACTCCTGGGGGCTGAAGATCCCTAGTTACTATACTTGATTTCTTTATATCCATGAACTTTTTAATGGTAAAGAGCATAGAACTGAATAGGATTAAATATAGTAATACACATAAAGTGCTTAGTAAAATGTATGGCCATGTAGTAACTCTCAATAAACTTTAAATTCAAGCTTATTGAAAAATCCCTCCTCTTCTTTCTCTTTGACCTTTTTCCTTTACTTGAACATCCTCATTATTAATGAGCTTAAGAATGCTGATATCACTAAGAAGGTTATAGAGAGAGAAGATACAATTTTAAGGGGGGATGCATCTGAAAATATTTTAAAAAATGTTACGACAAGGGATAATGCAGGGAAGCAGAAAGGAGAAATTATAATGGTCAACATTTAGAGCTGCCATAAATGATTGAGGCTTGATATGTAAACAGTTTTGTCCTCAGAACAAAGGCAATTGTTGCGGCCATGAAAAGCAAAGCAATGTTTTATAGGCCATTGTGGGGGAGACTTGCAAATTAAGAATAAAAGGTGACAGAGGAATGATTGAGAATGATGAATGAGGGAGGTATCAGAGAAGTAGAAGCAGAATCAGGAGAACCCAGAAAGGCAGACGCGCTGGCTCGAGTGGTGCAGAATAGGACTCCCAAGTAGGAGTCACTAGTCACAGGGAGTACTCAAGACTGGGGTGTGTTTCTTACATGTTCATGAATTTTGCAACCTTATGTTTTACACATGGAAGTTCCCATTCATTTCCTGTTTTCATACAGAATCATAGCTGCAATCCTGTGTCGGATGCATTGGTTGAACTAACGTTGTGTGCATGGACAATTTATAGATCTGTTCTTGTTTTTGCTACTACAGATCTTTAGTTATCCCTTGATTTCACTCATGCTTCATCAGCTGCATAATATAATTTCTCTTCAATGGCTTATGGTTCCTCCACCTTTTTCTGCATGTACAGGTACCATGACCTCTAATAGTCTGAAGCCTGGTAACCTACATACTGTCTCATTGATCTGGTGAAAAACCCAGGTGAAAGACTCACGTTCAGATGTTGGGCTGTTTCTCTTTCTTCAGGAGCATGGAGGGGGTCGGTGTGGCAGCTGTTGTTGGCATTGATATAGTACTGTTTGCCCTGGGCATATTTTTCATCCTAAAATTGATCAGGCAATTAGTTAAGGTTGTTGGGCTTTCAGTATATGAACCCATTACAAGAACATTTATATGTTTGATAGATGTGTAATTTTTTTTAACAGGGGGGCATCACAAAATTTGAAATTCATTCTTTTCCTACTTTTTCTATACATTGTCTCTATAAAATGATTTTACATCTAACTCTTCTAAATTTAACCTTTTCCCTTCTCTATTTATTATTATCCATTTTTTTTACTGTTTGAACCAAATATAGTACATATGTACCAATAGTTGGTGCTTCCCAGGGATGGTAGTGATAAAGAACATCCCTGTTAATGCAAGAGATACTAATGTTAAATGAGCTCTTAGGGTGGAACACTCATCCAATAGGTTTAGTGTCTCCATGAAGCGAAACACCAGAGAATTTTCTCTTCTGTCTCTGTGTCTGTGTGTCCTTTCCTCTGTCTGTCTGCCCCACTCCACACCCTGTGTGAGGACGCATGGAGAAGCCATCCTGGGAAGAAAGCGTTCTTACCAGAACCTCACCTTGCTGGTGCCCTGATCTGGGACTTCTAACCCCCAGAGCTGTGAGGAAATAAATTCCTGGTGTTTATTCCACTGAGTCTATTGTATTCTTTTATGGCATTCCTGGCTGACAAATACAAATTCATTTATTTTGGAAATTTTAAAAAGAAAATGAATGAAAGGAAATTGAAAAAAATGTCGCACTTCTTAGGAATCTTTGATTTCACAAAACTGATCCTTCTTTCGATTTCACCACCTTATGAACTGACGGCATCTTGTACTTAGAGAGTGTGTTATTGCAGCCTTCTTATTTAAAGGATAGTATAGGCCAGTCACTTATGTGAAGTTTCCTTTCGAGAGCCTGGCGGGCTACAGTCCATGAGGTCACAAGTGTCGTACATGATTTAGATACTAAACCACCACCACCAGAGTACTTACAAACTCTTTGAACATTATTGTGGAAAGGTTATGGAAGTCGTGGGTCAGCCAGGCAGCATCAATAAGCAGGTCCTTAAGGGATCTCAGGGGGGTGTCAGGACTGCAGGACGGGCATACGTTGCCTTGGCACAGGAGCAGATTTGACATGACCAGCAGCAGGAGCAGGCAGGACCCTCCTTAAATAAAAACATGAGCCATTCTGAGATGATCTAGTCACCCGAGGTTATCATATCCGTCCTGTGGAGGGAAGCCTTCTCTTTCCCTGTTGGTCTGAGCAGGAATTGGTGCTCTAGTAGCTGAGGTGGGGAAGAAGGAGGGCCCTCTGTGTAGATATAGATGGATGACGACATTTGCACAGATAGAGATTTGGAGAAGTAAGTCACTCCCTGCATTTATATTGCTCCCAGAAATGCTTCTGTGCTATGCAAACATTTGGAACTTAATTCTGAGCCAGAGAATTTAGGCCATTTTTTTTTTAAGACAGTTTAATGCTGGGACTCAGTATTAAACTATATGATTTTTTTTTTCTGTTTAAGAGTTACTTGTGTGTTTCCTTTGGTAGCACAGATATTAAAAAATTAGAATAATACTGAGAGTTTAGCATTGCCCCTGCTCACGGATAACAGACAAATTTGTGAAGCCTTCCATATTTTTCTGTAACAACTTCGACAACTGGGATGGAAAGGAATGTGGGAAGGAGGTTCAAGAGTGAGGGGACATAGGTAAAACTATGGCTGATTCATGTTGACGTTTGGCCGAAAGCAGTACAGTATTGTAAAGCAATTACCCTTCAATTAAACATCAATAAATTTAACTATAAAAATGTTTTTGGGGATCATATATCAGGTTCAGATGTCCATTGTATGACTAAAGAGGATCTGACTGGAAACTGAAGGTGTCAATTATCGTTGGTTAGTGATTCCTTAACTTTATACCTGAATGAGAAAAGTAAACTAACAAACACTATTGTCTGTGATACAGTGTCATAGCAAGCTATAGTCCTGTTCTGTGTTTGCTTTTAGGCGGTATAGTGCCCAAACTTTGAAACTGAGGCTGTTCCCAGAATTGCACAGTCATGAGTCCTGCCCAGCGTTTTTATTCCTGATGCTGGAGGATTCTGTTTGCTGGTCCACTAGGTCCAAAACTTTCTCTCCTGCGCGTTCTCTGGTTCTATCATGTGCACAAGTCTTTCTATTCTGGTTTTCTAATTTGATTCTCTAATTCTTTTGATCAGACTACCAAGTCTCTTTACGATTGGCTTTTCAGATCCATTTGTGCTTTGACTTTTCTGATGCTCATTAGTGTATTTGCTTGCATTTCTACATTTCTGAGTATTTTTCAGTATCTACGTATACCCTACCGTATTTCCTTAATGTCTGGCTTTTGGTGTTTAGCATCAGCATATTTTTATGAACTTCATTTTCCTTCTGGTGAAGTTTCTGGTATACAGCTTAAGCTGGTTGGCTCCCATCTGGCTTGTTTGTGTTGTCTCCAAAAAATTAGAGAACTCTGCTTTCTTTCTGGGCAATACTGCCCCTTCTTTTGATACCATTGCTAATTTTCTGTGATTTCACTGCCTCATAAGCTTTGTCTTTCTCAATCTACTGTAACTTGAGTACTAAGTGTCTCTATGTTGCTATTACTAGTTTATTTCATTTTGTTAATTTTAATTGGAGGCTAATTACTTTACAATATTTTAGTGGATTTGCCATACATTGACAGGAATCCACCATGGGTGTACATGTGTTCCCCTTCCTGACAGCCTCCCTCCTCCCTCCCCATCCCATCCCTCTGGCTTTTCCCAATGGACCAGCCCCAAGCACCCTGTATCATGCATCGAACCTGGACTGACCATTTGTGTCACATGTGATAACATTTTTTGAAAATCCATATATATGCATTAGTATACTGTACTGGTGTTTTTCTTTCTGGATTACTTCACTCTGTATAATAGGTTCCATTTCATCCACCTCATTAGAACTGATTCAAATGTATTATTTTTCATGGCTGAGTAATATTCCATTGTGTATGTGTACCACAGCTTTCTTATACGTTTGTCTGCTGATGGGCATCTACATTGCTTCCATGTGCTGGCTATTATAAACAGTGCTGCAATGAACATTGGGGTACACGTGTCTCATTCAGTTCTGATTTCCTCGGTGTGTATGCACAGCAGTGGGATTGCTCAATCATATGGCACTTCTATTTCCAGTGTTTTAAGGAATCTCCACCCTGTTCTCCACAGTGGCTGTATTATTATTTTAAATAAATATCAACCTAGTATACCAGAGAATTAAAGGGAATAAAACTAAAAGAGTATTAGTAATAATACATTCCCCCAACATTTTAATCCAGTAATGCTCCCAGTTTTAAATGACTTACTATCCATGTCTTCTTGAGGTCCCCTACTCACTTGACCTTACTAGGTGTTTCAATTTTGAAACAGAAGGTAGAAAACAATGGAGTGGATAGTTCTGAAAATCACCTTGGATTTTTGATGCATCGAGGTTAAGTATGTAATTATTAGTTTTTTATAGTTAGTGGGGCTATTCTTAGCACATATAGCTCATTGCAGGGTGATTGCTATTGAGTAAAGGATGCATACTGTGAAGTGCAATCACCAAACAGGAGACTGGAAATAAAGAAAGCAATGTCAGGAAGACACAGGCTTCTGTTTTGGAAGGAAAAACTTACAGTGTCTGTCATCTACCGTCTAATCTTAAAAATTTTCAAAAAACGTATTCTTCCTTGCCCATTTAATAATTTGGGTTGTTTGATTTCTTCTACTACTGAGTTGCATGCGTCTCTTTTATATATCTGGATATGAAGCCCTTACGAAATATGTGATTTGCAATTTTTTTTTCATTCCACAGTTTGTCATTTCATTTTCTTGATGGCCTCTTTTACTATGCAGAAGATTTTGAGTTTGATGTGGTCTCACTAGTTTATTTTTTCCAAAAGCTCTTGCCTTTGCTTTTGATGACTGACTTGTTTGAGCTACTTGTATTCCGGAAAGCAATCCTTTATCAGTTGTTTTATTTGCTATTATCTTCTCCCATTCTTACCAAAAGGTACAAACTGGCTGAATGGATACAAAAACAAGACCTGTATATATGCTGTCTACAAGAGGCCCACTTCAGTCCTAGAGACTCATACAGACTGAAAGTGAGAGGATGGAAAAAGATATTCCATGCAAATGGAAATCCAAAGAAAACCAGATTGGCAATTTTCATATCAGAAAAAATAGACCTTAAAATAAAATCTATTATAAGGGATAAAGAAGAACACTACAAAATGATCAAGGGATCAGTCCAAGGAAAAGACAAAACAATTTTAAATATTTATGTACCCAACATAGGAGCACTTCAATACATAAAGTGAACACTAACTGACATAAAATGAGAAATTGACAGTAACACAATAATAGTAGGGCATGTTAACACCCAGAAAATAAATAAGGAAACATAAGCCTAAAGGGAACTATTAGAGCAAACAGACCCAGTAGATATCTTCAGCACATTGCATCCAAATGCAGAATACACTTTCTTCTCAGGTGAACGTAGAACATTTTCTCATCTTGGGTCACAAATCAAACCTCAGTAAATTTAAGGAAACTGTAATTTTATCAAGCATTTTCTCTGAACACAACACTGTGAGACTAGATAATGACTAGGAATAAAAAAATGTATATATATATATATGTATATATATATATAAAGACCAAAAACACATGGAGATTAAACAAAACATTTCTAAATAATGAACATGTTACTGAAAAAATAAAGGAAATCAAACAGTCCTAGAAAGAAAGAACAATGAAAACATGATGATATAAAACCTATATGATTCAACATAAGCAGTTCTAAGAGGGAAGTTTAAAGTAATACAAATCCTACCTCAAGAAACACATTGAAATGACCACCTAACTTTGCATATTTTTAATGCTTTTTAAATTTCTCTTGTCAGTGTCTAAAGGTTTTGCATAAAATCTTTCAACACCTTGCTTAAGTTTATTTCTAAGTGTTTTTATCTTTTTCTGATGCAATAGTAAATGGGATTGTTTTCTTTATTCCACTTTCTGAGAGTTCGTTGTTGATATACAGGTAGGCAACTCAGTTTCGTATATCAGAATATAGTGTATGCTACATCGTTAAAGAATAGCCATTTTCCCACAAGTAAGACATATAGATGATCAAGAGGTATATGAAAACATGCTCAGCATCACTAATAATCAAAGGAAATGCAGATAAAAAGCACAAGAGATATCACCTTATACCTGTTTGAATGGCTAGTACCAAAAAAGTAAGAAATGACAAATGTTATTGAGGATGTAGAGAAAAAGGGACCCTAATGGCAGAAAGTGAAGAGCATCTAAAAACCCTCTTGATGAAAGTGAAAGAGGAGAGTGAAAAAGTTGCCTTAAAGCTTAACATTCAGAAAACTAAGATTATGATATCTGGTCCCATCACCTCATGGGAAATAGATGGGCAGACAGTGGAAACAGTGTCAGACTTTATTTTGGGGGTCTCCAAAATCACTGCAGATGGTGATTGCAGCTATGAAGTTAAAAGATGCTTACTACTTGGAAGGAAAGTCATGACCCACCTAGATAGCATATTAAAAAGCAGAGACACTACTTTGCCAACAAAGGTCCGTCTGGTCAAGGCTATGGTTTTTCCAGTGTTCATGTATGGATGTGAGAGTTGGACTGTGAAGAAAGCTGAGCGCCAAAGAATTGATCCTTTTGAACTGTGGTGTTGGAGAAGACTCTTGAGACTCCCTTGGACTGCAAGGAGATCCCACCAGTCCATCCTAAAGGAGATCCGCCCTGGATGTTCATTGGAAGGACTGATGTTGAAGCTGAAACTCCAATACTTTGGCCACCACACGCGAAGAGTTGACTCATTGGAAAAGAACCTAATGCTGGGAAGAATAGGGGGCAGGAGGAGAAAGGGACAACAGATGGTGAGATTCTTGGATGGCATCACTGACTCAATGGACATGAGTTTGAGTAAACTCCGGGAGGTTGTGATGGACAGGGAGGCCTGGTGTGCTGCGATGCATGGGGTCGCAAAGACTCAGACATGACTGAGTGACTGAACTGAGTTGAACTGATGCACTGTTTGTAGGGATATGTACCAGTGCAATTGTCATGGAAAAATATTCTGGTGGTTCC